CAAAACACGGCCGGGACCTTGGACTTCGTCGGTGAGCATCGGTGAGCTCTCCTTGCTGTTGCTCTCGTTGTGCCTCAGCTTAGACTACCTGTACGGTGCAAGGGTGGTTTTGCTGTGCCTTAGGTTTCGAGTGCACATCTCGGCGACGAGTCAGCTTCATCCTTACCTGGCTCGGCTGGGTTCCTGGTTTTGGGGGGTAGTGCTGTGCTGGGGTGTGTGGTGTAATGGGTCTCGCCGGCTTGGCTGGTGCTTGTGTCTCTGGGTGTCTGTGTGTGTCTGTGTGTGTGTGTGTGTCTGTGTCTGTCTTTGCTGCGACTCCGAGGCTGCGGCATCGCTTCGACATGCTGATCACTCCAATGGGTCTTCGGTGCGATGCTCAGTGACGATTGTTGCAGGATATTCGCGAAGTCGGCAAGCACGGATGTTCGGGATTGGTCGTGTTGTGACAGGGCACCGATGGACTGGATCCTGCGATGCCGGAGGCTGGTGCCCGCAAGCAGGGATGAGTGTGTTCGGGGATGTTCCTGGTTTGGCCGTGTTGATCCGTCTTGTGACAGGACACTGGATTGGGGCGACCGGACAATGGCCTGGACCCTGGGATGCCGGAGGCTGGTGCCCACAAGCCGGGATGAGTATGTTCGGGGATGTTCCTGGTTTGGCCGTGTTGATCCGTCTCCTGACAGGACACTGGACTGGGGCGACCGGACAATGGCCTGGACCGTGGGATGCCGAAGGCTGGTGCCGGCAAGCAGGGATCAGTGTTTTCCGGTATGTTGCGGGTTTTGCCGTCTTGATCCGTCTCGTAACAGGACACTGGAGTGGGGCGACCCGACAACGGGCTGGACCCTGGGATGCCGGAGGCTGGTGCCCGCAAGCCGGGATGAGTATTTTCGGGGATGTTGCTGGTTTGGCCGTGTTGATCCGTCTCCTGACAGGACACTGGACTGGGGCGACCGGACAATGGCCTGGACCCTGGGATGCCCAAGGCTGGTGCCGGCAAGCACGGATGAGTGATGATGAGTGTGTTCGGGGATGTTCCTGGTTTGGCCGTGTTGATCCGTCTCCTGACAGGACACTGGATTGGGGCGACCGGACAATGGCCTGGACCGTGGGATGCCGAAGGCTGGTGCCGGCAAGCAGGGATGAGTGATGATGAGTGTGTTCGGGGATGTTCCTGGTTTTGCCGTCTTGATCCGTCTCGTAACAGGACACTGGAGTGGGGCGACCCGACAACGGGCTGGACCCTGGGATGCCGGAGGCTGGTGCCCGCAAGCAGGGATGAGTGTGTTCGGGGATGTTGCTGGTTTGGCCGTGTTGATCCGTCTTGTGACAGGACACTGGAGTGGGGCGACCGGACAATGGGCTGGACCCTGGGATGCCCGAGGCATTCGGGGATGTTCCCGGGGTTGGCCGTGTTGTTCCGTGTTCTGACAGGACACCGGAGTCGGGCGATTGGACCCTGAGATGCCGGAGGCTGGTGCCGGCGACACACGTGGGCCAGCTGCAAAAGCGGAGCCCGGGGTCGATGCATTGCCGGATTGCCTCGTGCGCGGTGGGCTGGAATGCTGTCGTTTGCGATTGCCTCATTGCCACTACAATGAGAACGCCGGCTTGCCTGCCGTCGACATGAGGTTCTATCAGTGTCTTAGTATGTCTTAGTGTCGTTTAGTGTCACTGCATCCACCCATAGCCATCCATAGGGGCTTGTACTTCGGCACGAGAGGGTTTCGACCTGGGGTTGCGGCTGTCTGAGGCTGCCGTGGTCAGAGCAAGCAGAGGCTTGGGAGGTGTATCTGCAGGCTCTGGCCAGCTTCCTTTCCGCTGGGCTATCCATGGTAGAGTTCGAGCAGCTGAGCACGGCCGAGAAAATCGCGGCTATTCCTGAAAACTACATAGCCGCCGTCTTGGACAGCAAGTACTGGCCGCAGGGTGCATTCTATCGGCAGAAGAGCCTTCGTGCTCGCGGGCTGCCGTTGTGTTGCCTCCATTCCACCAACCAAAATGATCCGATCCTCGAGCACTGACTGGGTTGCTGCATGCTGATGCCTTTCGGTGGGATTGATGGATTGGGGATGACTGCCAAAAAAATGCCTTAGAGACCCATCTATCTGGGTTCAGGGGTGTGTAAGGCATGCCCATCGTCTCCTGCAGCATCTGGGCGTGCCTGGACAAGACCCCTGTCCGTCTTCTCTGAGTCGGCTTCCTGCTAGGACCCCTAGCTTCCTCTAGGATATTCTACGTTGTCCAGGCAAAAGGCGGGTCCAGGGCTCCGTAAGGCATTAATTTCCCATTCCAAGACCAATCCTGCAGAATTTGGGGGAGGGGCCCCAGCAACGCTGACAAACTAGCAAATTTGACAGGGATACCCAAGGCCTCAGGCGGGTGCCTCATCGACCCCTCCACGTAGGTCCGGGGCTCGGTAAGGCATTAATTGCCTAACCCAGGACGAATCCTGCACAGCACCTGAGCACACCCTGTAACATGGCTTCGTGCCAGGAACCCTACGACAACCTGGGACACCCTAGGCATCCCTAGGCTTGGCAGGCACCAGACGGGTGCCTTCTGGACCCCTCCACATAGGTCCAGGGCTCCTTAAGGCATTAACGCCTCGCGGCA